AGTATGCAGAGAAACAGATGGACTACAGTCTGTAACTGTAGAACTACAAAGTGCACCTAAATAGTAAGTGGAGCTGATAAAATGGACTAAGAGTGTCAGAAACAAGGAGATGTACTTAATGAAGTGGCCAGTAGACACACAGTATACACTCCTATGCCTGGCCTCACCAGTAGTACGTTCTACAGTCCATACAAGGAAGACGTTTTAATGTAGGAGTTATAATAGATATTTTACAAAGGCTTTAATTCTAGCCTGGTCTGTTAACGATTTATACCTAACTAATAAAAGTTGGTTATATATAAATAAAAAATAATAATAATAATGAATGGTGATGGTGGTGGTGGTGGTGGTAGTAATAATAATAATAATAATAATAATAATAATAATGTATATCGCTGCTGTCGGAAGAAAACCCGTATCCCATTTTTTCATGTGATTTCATGATAAATGGACCAACCAAAATGACCCAAAATGACTTGGAAAAAAGTCTGGTTCCATTGACTTTCATTAAAAGTAGAGTATGTTTTTTCCTTCTCCTGTAAAGTTCTCATTTTGGGGGTACGAGATTTTGTTCCCACAGCAGCGATATATAATATTATAATAACGTATTGTACTAAAATGTGCCATATATTTTGCATAGGGCAGGTTTTATGTATTCATTTTTTCCAGTGTGTTGAAATTCAGTCAATAAACAGTCATTGTGTATTAACATGTACAGAAGTGTGTTCTCTGTGGAGGATGTAGTAACTTATTTTTAATTTAGAAATTCAACCAAACGCGTTTTGATTTGACCTGCGGTGCCCAAACTTTTGCACCTTTTTAACACAAGTTCACAAATTATTTTACAGAGAAATCAAATATAAAAATAAAAGACACTTCAAAGACAGTAAACATTAGTTTAAAATGAAATATGTGGAGAAAATACAATGATACTGTTATATATTTTGAAAACATCGCGATATTGAGTCTTATCGATACCGTCCAGCCCTATTTCTGACTGCATAATATATCATCTTTTCACCCCATGCTCCATATGTTACCCCACCTGACACTATACGCCGCGTCCTCATTCAGATCCGTTGTACTGGATGAGTTTTTGACACTTCGGTCGTCCCCAGAGTGCAGGAGCTCGAGACCCAACAGCTTGTGGAAGCTCTGGATCAGTTTCACTGGCTGGTTTTGTCAGCTATTGTTAGTATGGGCTCTCAGGTATGAATAATTTAGAGCTGGGTGATGCAAAACACTCACACCCTACACATTTATACCTTCTCCGGGACTCCCTGCGAGAGAAACGGGGTTATTTGCCCTCCAGCGAAGTTGTACTTGTTGTTTGTTTGGGTTTAGCCCTGCTGACCTTAATGCTGTGGAATATGAGTCAGTCGGGATGGACGATGTAGCAAATATTTAATATTGCGGTGCTTAAAAGTGTCTTCATGAATCTTCTCGATACACAGCCAGGGGGGTAAGTAACCTACACACATGCTCATTATTGCTATAATACTAATGACTCAAGTATTAATACTTTTCTGAAACACAGCTTGAGTAGAAGTAGTAGCAGCTCAAAAAAATACTTGAGTAGCGACCAAATTACTTCAGTACCATCAGATTTTAGGGGGAATTCCACTGTTTTCTCAAAATTTCAGCCTAGTTTCGTCACTGAAATGTACGTAAAGTCGTTCAGAGTGGTTCGAAGTAAAGTAGGTTATGGTCCACAACACAGATATGGACGTTCTGTTTGCTATCCAGACCCACCAGTGAACCTACATGTGTCTTCTGAGTTTCTACATGTAATAATGATGAGGGAATAGAAAAAAATCTGAAAAAAAAAAGTTTTCTGTGGGGACTCTTTTGCCTTCCTGTAGCTCTGCACCATGATTGGATTTCAAAAAAGTACATTTAAGGCCAAATTTTGGCAGAAATTTTGAAAAATTTGTGGAATTCCCCTTAAAGTTTGGTAGTCTTAGCTTCTGTGTTACAGTAAGCATGCTTGTTCCAAAATCTAGACTGTCTAAATTAAACATGATATTAATGTCAGCATTTTTTTTGATTAGTCTGTAATCCATTAGTCGGTCCTAGAACCTCATTCTCACTACTTTTGGCTTGGAATTTAAAAGAAGTAATCGGAAATAAATCACTGTTGTCGCAAGAAAACCTCGTATCTCCATTTTTGTCGTTTTTCAGTTTTTGACATGATTTGAAAATACCTGTTGTCCTTTACATTGTGTGTAAATTCCATGATGAATGGACCAAATGAAATGGCCTAGAATGACTTGGAAAAATGTCGGGTTCCATTGACTTACATTAAAAGTAAAGTAGGTTTTTTCTTTCTCCTGTAAAGTTCGAATTTTGGAGATACAAGGTTTTGTTCTGACAACAGTGAAATGGTAATTCCACCAACTTTTCCCATTTTTTACTGAACTTTCCACATAATTAAATAAATGGGATGTAAACAGTCACTCAGAGTGGTTTGGTGTGAAATGCTCCGTTCTAGAGAAACTTAGAGAATTGCTCACAGTGGTGGTGATAGGAACCAGACGTCCAAAGCATTCAGTGTCTTTAGAAGCTCCTCACAGAAAGTTAAAACTGAAATTACCTGATTCCTGAGGTTGTTTTATGAGAGTTCTGGGATAAACATGTTGTTTTTTAAAACACATTTGTGGCAAAGAGCTACATGCAGGACATTGTAAGACAAAATAGTCCCCTAAGACAATTTCTTTTTTCAGATTTTACCATCATCAGCTTTACATATTAAAACTCAGACGTGTGGGTTCACTGGTGGTTTTAGATAGGTAATAAAATGGGTGTATTTGTGTTGTAGACATTGTGACCCCTGGTTCCCGTCACCAACCCTGTTTAAGAGAATGGAGTCAGTAAGTTTCTCTGACTTTGTTTACATGGTAACTGTTGAATTCTGCAGAAACTGTGGAAAAAGTGGTGGAATTTCACTTTAAGGTATTGGTATTGGTACCGAAACTGGGAAAAAAAACAATACTCCTAGTAGTATTTAATAGAAATCTAGCTTTGTGTTTTTATTCTCCTTACACAATCTATTTTGTAATGTAGCATATTTGGATTAGTTTAGAAGTCCAGTTTAAAGTAGGGATACATGATGACCGGAATACATGGAATTGACAGATAAATGCTTAAAAAAATAATTTTCCGCATCAGGCAGACATTTACATTTTAATGATATTTCAAAGCGATATTTGCCGTACACTGTTAGAAATGAAGGTTCTGTGCAGGTAGATTGTTTCAGGTACAATGTAAATGTTCCCTCAAAGGTACAACAGTGGTTTTAAGGTCCAATTGTGAACCTTAAATACGTTTTTCCAATTGAAAAGTTCATATTTGTACCTTTTCATAATCTTATGTTTTAAAACAGAACAATAAAAAAGCCTGGAGACGAGATGGGGTGTGTGGAGTCAATACAACTTATCATTTCATACATATCATTTACATGGATTATGGTACAGTTATGTTCCCTGACTAAAGGTACTGAGATGTACCCTTGAGGATCCCACCCCAGTGACAGTTTAGTACCTTTATTTCTGAAGTGTGTTTATTGTACTCTGGTAGATCAGAATGCTTAGGTGAAGCTGAGCTACTGCACTTTATTCATTTACCTCATTTGCAACCCTCCAGAAATACACACTATATGTCTCTGTAATGCTAATAAAGGTAGTACCAATTTATACACTATATGAATGTTTATGCTTCAGCATCATCAGATATGTGCATGAGAAATACTGTTTACTGGCATCGGCCCACGGTTCCCATACAGGCCCTTCCCCGGTTTAAAGATTGATCGGTCTTACAAGAAAACCGACATTGTGTGAGAGTTATGAGGTTCTGCTTTTAATTTCCACATAAACTCAATACGTCTGATTACTCCTTAATGTAGGACAGAAGACTAATGGTTCAGTTGCACACAGGCTGGTATGAATAATGCAGACCTGCACACAGCAGATGGAGTGTGTGTTGTAAGGCTGGGGCAACTGGCTGCATCACTTGCTGCTTTTCTTCCTCTGTGTGCAGATGGGTGTTAAACAGATGGGAGGTGTGAAAGGGCAGAGTTCAGGGGGGTTACAGTGCACTGGGTCAGATGATGAGATGGTCTGTGGAAGGAGGTTAAAAGTTTTTCATTCTGCACTTTATTTCATTTTATTTTTATTTTTTGAAACGCGGTCGCTCACAGATTATGTGAAAATTGAGATCACATTTCTGAGACAGTCTTCTAAAGGAGAATTACTTCAGTTTGTCTACATTTCTGTGTGATTCAATCGGTGAGATGTAAACAAAGTTGTTCAGAGTGGTTTCGTGTGAAATGGTTCATTGCAGAGAAACTTACAGGCTCAGATTTCTTTACAGTGGTGCTGATAGGAACCAGGGGTCACCATGACTACAACACAAATATAGCCGTTTTGTTTACCGACCAGAACCACCAGTCAACCTACAGGAGTCTCCTGAGTTTTATATGGAATGTTGATGATGAAAAAATAGTCATAAATCGTTTTTACAGTCTGACGGTAATAATTGTGGAGTGATTTTAATCCAGTATGAATCTGCAGTGTGTAGTTTTACAGTCTGACTGTAATAATTGTGGAGTGATTTTAATCCAGTATGAATCTGCAGTGTGTAGTTTTACAGTCTGACTGTAATAACTGTGGAGTGATTGGGTCGTCTATAATTAGCTGAACCCGGATCTCCCTCAGTAGTAGCAGTCGTCATGTTCCAATACACCTTATGCTAATAGAAAAACAAAACCTGTTAACAGACACGATCATCTGGTTTGTTATTGTTGTTATTGAGTGTGTTCTGTGGTGTAACCCTGATGTGAACGTCCAGGCCGTGACCTTTCAGTCAAGGCTGCCAGTGGAAATTCTGAGAAATTATACAGATACTTTATCCTGTACAAACTGACTAATTCCACATTCCACAGTCTCCTCTATTAATACTAATCCAGCTGCCAAAGCTTAGTTTTTCTCTCTCTCTCTCTGCAGGAAACTGAAGTCCACACAGTTTACCCTTCAAATGGAATATCGTCTTCACTCTCTTATGGTCTTTTAGGTGAGTTTCTAGCTGTGGTACATTCATTCATCCTCTGCTGTGGTGGAAATATTCCCCTAATTATTGGAAATAACTGGGGGAATATTCTTTGTGGAAAGCATCTCACGTTACGTGTCTAAGTAGAGCTAAAAATGGGAATATCTCAGAGGAAATATGACCTCTGTGCAGTGTAGCCTGTGTGAATAATTGTTATTTTGGCCAGCTATTAGTATGTTAGTCACACACAGATACAGCTGTGTACAGTTTAGGTGCTCCAGACAAATGAGACGTTTTGTTGATTTGATTTTAACAATAAGTTAACAGCCTCTACAGGGAACACACTTCTGTATCTTAATTTGCTGAATTGAGCATATTGGGAAGTAAAAAGACCAGGGCTCACTGGTAAAAGAGATGTGTTTTTTATCTCAGTGTGATTATCCTGGTTAAATAAAGGTGAAATAAAATTAAAAATAAATAAATAAATCAAATAAATGGCCTGTCCGTACTGTTTCAGTATGTTAAGTGCTGCAAAATAAACAGAAATTGTGCACTACGGTTTGCAAACTTGAAAGCCATGTTTACGTTTGTTTCCTGTAGAGGGTTTTAACAACAAAACGTAATATTGACTGGGGGAATTTAAACTTCAGCATGTGACTGTAAATCACTAAACCAAATGAAAGTACAGATCTAGATCACTTTTAAACCTTTGGTGGTCAAATGGTGCTGCAACACAAACAGACATACACAAAACACCCTGTAAAGCCTGAAATAAGAGGTCTTAATTAATTAATGTTACACACACAGGTTTAAAACGAAGGTCTGGCTCTATGTTTAGATCTCAAATGCAAAATCAACATTATACTGATGAAGATATGATTGACTCACTCAGACACGTCCTTCACCAAGGCTGAGTTCTCTTTGAATAACTTTCAACACTCTTGCAATAATCAGATTCATCCTCTTGGGGAAGGGGTCCGATTCACAACCCACATTACAAAATGTTCTTCCTAATATTCATAGTGTAGCTTTGATTTTGGCTTGTTTTGGGTTGTTTATGAACACAAATGATGCAGAAATAAAATGTGGGCTAATTGAGTCGAGAAAAAAAATTCTGACCAATATTGCGATTCCATTTTAAATGCAATTATTTAAAATTACTTTGAGGTAGGGCTGGGCGATAAAACGATAACGATAAGTATCGCGATATAACTTTTCCTCGATAGAGCGATAAGACAGGTTCGATAAATGTTCGATATAATACACCGTTCTCACACTTCCACGTTTTAGCGAAAGCCCTGGTGGCGCTTTCTACTGCAAGGAAAGTGACACTACTCTGCTGTCGCCAGGAGAGGGCGCACTTCCGAGTTTTTCTACATGATTAGAGAGGGAGGGGGCCACGAGTAAAAAAAGGGTCGCCAAATATACTTTAGCAACGGCTGAAACGCGGAGTTATACAGTCCCTGTTTGAGTGGAGCGACCGGCGATCTGTTCTCCTGTGACCGAGTGTGAGTGACGAGGTCAGTGGTGTAACTGTACTGTCCTACAGCAAACTCACCTCTTTCCGTGCATCCTAACAACTTTAGCGGTGTTAAATCACGTCTGCAGCGCCTGTTACAGCGCCAAACCGTCATATTTTAGTATTAGTGCATTCTCCAGCAACGAAAGTGAAAGAAAGAAGTGGGTTAATGTTCGTTACAGCCCTGATTTAAACGAAAGTAAACTGAGGAAGCTGTGAGGCGTTGGAGAGCGGGAGAGCGCTGTCTTTCCAGGCTAGCTGTTTTTAGCTGCTGGCTAATTGAAGCAGCGCTCTGGCACAACACGGTGAACTGATGATACTGTAGATCAAACAAGACACAAAATCACCGCTTTCAGTTTAAACATGCCTAAAAGGAGGACTCTGTGACTGGTGTGAGAGATTCACACTGCAGATAATGCTTTTACACAGCGAGCGTCAGATATACTGCGGTTCACCCCTTAAACTACTACGATAGTATAGAGAAACCCAGTCGTCTAGCTGGTGTCTGAATACTGTGATCTGCTCTGACATGGATGTGGTGGGAGTGACAGCAGTGACCTACCGAACCGAGTTGACGTTGTTGAGAAACTAAAGAGTTTAGCACTGTTGTTGGCCACTTGTTTAGCATTTGTAGCGGGGTAGCCGAGCGCTCGTCACCAGACAGCTAAAAATAATCTGTTTTCTTTCTTAAATCATGACTATTACAAAAATTGCAGCTGTGCTTTTCCAGCTGATAAAAACAGCTCAGAAACTTTCTCCCACTCTTCCATGACAGATTAGTGATGATCGGACCATAGTGATGATCGGACCATAAGTGATAGTTTAAAACCACAGTTAACCACCCAGGAGCAAAATCAGCCTTCAAACCTGAAAGAAATCATGATTTGACATTTATCGCTGTATCGATATCGAACGATATGAATTTTGTTTATCGTGATAACGTTTTTGGCCATATCGCCCAGCTCTACTTTGAGGACTTATTTTTTGTCCTTGAAGTCCAGCACATCCATTTTTGGATTCCTGTGTGTCAGACCTGTTCATGAGCTCTGCAGTATTAGGTTAAATAAAAACTTGTTAAGATGACGTTATAATGCTGTAGTGAGTCTGGCTTTGTACAGTATTGTTTGATAACTTGTTTCATAACTTTCCACTGATGGACTGTTGGCTTCTTTTCTTTGGCTGTGATGAAAATGACATTCATGTCACAACTCGCTCGTGTCGTTAAGTGCGTTTACGTGCACTTAATAATCCAATTACGGCAGAAAATCTGATTTGGTCAGTAATCCGTTCAACGTGTTTACATGAGCTTCATCATAAGTTCATGTAAACACGTTGTGTAATCGGATAATGTGAAACTCCACGTCACATGAGTCAGACAGTAATCAGATTTCTGCTTTGCAACCAGCCAATAAACTCGTGAACGTAAACGTAACGTAAAACTCGAACTGTTGTTTTTTTTTAAAACATCACAACTATTTTACCTGAAAATATGAACATACATCATCTAGAAGATGAAGAATATTTAAATCCTTCATTTCGTCAAGCATGTATTGGTTTCAGCGTCGCTCCAAAAGTGTTTTGTTGCGTCTTGCGGTGACGCTGCTTGCTTATTTCCGGTACCGCCGTTTGTTACCGCACATGCTCAGACTGAGAAAAGCGAAAGAAATCAGAGTAAGAGTTCACATTCACTGAGAAATCTGATTACTGAGCTAAAATCCTGCTCTCTTTATCAGATCTCTTCATCAGATTTCTAGACCTTACTCCGATCTCAGAAATCAGAGTGTGCTGTTCCCATAACCATTTTGAATAATCAGATACCTGCAGAAATCTGATTATGATCGGATTATTGACTGCATGTAAACACACTCATTGATATTGTAATCGTCCAACTTAGAAGCGTGTTCACGTGGCCCCTCCTGGTGGGGAAATCTGAACGTGCTGTTAGCGTATGATAAACATCAGGCAGTGTGTGTACCTGTGTGGGCGGAGCTTCTGAGTCTGAGACTGGTGTGCAGGGAATAGGGAGGATGAGTTACAGAAGTAGGAGTGAAAAGAAGGGATGACGCAACATGGAGGGAGTAAACACGCCTGTGTACGAGTTAGTCGTGAGTGACGGGGCTTGGAACAGAAGGAAGGTTGGAGTGTTTGTGTTCGGTGAGGGTGGAGGAAGAAAAGCAGGACTCGTTCTGTAAACAGATTTTAGTTTTCTGCCCTCTTTCTGTCTGTTTTTCTGCTTTTTGTGCGTACAGCAGGCATGCAAGGCACGGAGGGGGAGAGAACGCACTGTGCCTTCTTTCTGTGTGTGTGTGTGTGTGTGTGGTGTGGTGTGTGTGGGGTGGTGTGTGTGTGTGTGTGTGTGGGTGTGTGTGTGTGGGTGTGTGTGCTGAGAGACTTACTACGAACTGGGCACTAAAAAGTATCACCGTGACCTGCTGAAAGGTCTCCATGCTGAAGATGCCTCGTCCTCCAGTGTGTAAATATAGCACGTGTGTAGTGCTGAGCAATAAATCATCCGTGTCAAACGACAGTATAGATTATAAGCTTTCGCAGTCCTGATAGATAACAAAACATGGTTTGTAATTCTTGTTGTTTACTCAGTATTTCTGATTTGTTGTTAAAAGAAATCACAATTCATAGAATCTAATTCAATTAGGGATGTATGGATGATGTACTTTTAAGGCCAAATCTGGTTCCCTGTTCTTTTCTGGCCTTTTTTTAGCCTTTTTTCTTCTTCTTTGTCTTTATTTTAATCTGAAGCTCAGACTGTGTGGGCGAAGTGAACACAGGAAATACAGTAGCATATTTTTAGTACTATTTGCCAGTGTTGCAGTATAAATAACATCATTTGCTCTTTTAAAGGGAAATTCCACCCACGTAAACTGTAATTCAGAGTGGTTTGATGTGAAGTGGTACATTTGCAGAGAACCGACTAATAAATCTGATGAAATAATGGTTCAAGCTGGCAGTTTTAAATTTGTAAATAAATAAAAAAAAAATCAGTTGCCTATTAAAGGGACAATATCATAGAAAACTGAGTTTTCCTCACCCCATGATAGGATTTGATGTGTTATGTAAACATTGTTTCAGAAAAATACCATTAACTCTTCAGTCCATACAGTCTGTTTATGGAAAAGTCGCTGCAAAACCAGTTTAACTGTTTTTGTGATGTCACAAAAACAGCATATTTCCCACTCAGTCACTGGATCCTCTGAATTGCGAGGAGTGGAAATATAAACAGTGCTACATCCGTGCTAATATCTCAGAATTAAACAGGTGAGGTTTTAATGGGCAGAGCTGTAGACTGAAAAGGTAGAGATATGAAATTCAGCTTAGACCCAGAGTTGCTAATATGGGCGTGACGCTGACTACAGAACGACAGCAAGCCTTCAGAGGCCTATAGGAGAAACTACACAGCTAACAGTGTGAGTTTCAGTAGAGATCTGTTACAGGATTGGATCACTTTTATTCTGTTTTACACTCCAGTATCCCATCCAGCCCAATACCT